CTGGTAAAAACCCAGCACTGGCAAACACACACAAACATCATCTAACATCTTTTCTCCAGGCTAGGGTTTTAATTGCCGAGATTGGCTCAGCTCAACCCAGCACCTAGTACAAAAATCCTATTTAGCCAGTGTCGGATTTTAAAAGCCGACGCTGGAAGTAATACACACAACACACACCCAATTCTGGAAAAGACCAGAACTGGCAACACACAAAAAAATCCTATTTAGCCAGTGTCGGATTTTAATAGCCGACACTGGAAGTAATACACGCAACACACACTCAGTTCTGGAAAAGACCAGAACTGGCAACACACACAAAAATCCTATTTAGTCCTATTTAGCCAGTGTCGGAATTGAATAGCCGACACTGGAAGTTGAGCCCAACGATTCCAAAAGAAACAGAAGATGAGTTGCACCTTTCGGCGCTATTTTACACCTTTCGGCGTACTAGTTACAAGTAGTGTTTCTTTGTTATTTTGTGGGCTGGGCGTGCCCAAGCTAAGGCCCATGAACGCCAGCAGGACGAAGATGCTAATTCCTGAGTCTCCTTAGTTCTTTCCTTAGTTCTCTGGTGATCACAACCCTTTAGAAAATCTATCAACATACAAATAACGCAAATAATATCAACATGTCCAACATAATCAACATACAAATAATATCCTGTCTCCCAACGTGCTTTTGGAACACTATGCATAAAAATATAATCCTTTGCTCCCAACGTCTTATAACAAAACCTTGGGTCACAATAAAATGCTGTGTGCCAGAGGTTGTATGTACATGCTAAATCATCTACATCTGGTGAAAGCAACATACCATCCAGACTGAATCTAGGCTGCAAATAAATTCCTGTGATCAGAACCCTTTAGAAATTCTAGCTTTCAGGAGCTATGTTCCAAATAATGTCCAGAGCGAACGTCAGCCAACCTGCCACTCCATATGATTTCGGAAATAAATTAAAATAAAATTTTGCACTGGACCCCCAGGATTCAATTCTGGGAGTACAGACGGGGATAATCAAACATTGGCTCGTCACAGTCCTGCAGCGCTTGCCTCGCAACTCACAACGTTCGATGGTAACGGTGCTCAAACAAGGCGCCTCCAACAGGGCCCACTAGACCCGACAGCTGCAAGGGTACCTCGTCAGGAAGCCTCTAAAGTGCGTCAAGCTGCAGCTTCTCTGTGAACATCGGATTGGCCTGCGCTGGCTTGGGTTGATGACTAAACAGTTGCCCCGCTTTGCTTGTCACAAAATTCGTAAGAGTGACACGGTCATACAATGGAATTATCACAGGGTTGCAAATTTACTGTACGCATGCAACGGGGAAGAAAACGTCTTGTCGCTCTTTTCAGCATTCTGAAACCAATATCTGCACTACCCACAGTAGACCTCACCCGGCCTCCACTAGGATTGCTTCCCAATCACCTCCATGAGGGCAATTCTTCACAGGCCCGTAGCCATTGGAGAGAAAAGAATCAAAGGTGTTTCCATCTGCAGCACCAAGGTCAATGAAAACACACTTCGGCTCCGTCCTGCTGAGGACAGAGTTGGAAAGAAACAAGGAAGCAGTGACAGTAGGTCGAGGCAAGTGTGCCAAATAGTAGCTTCTAGCTACTAGTAGCGATGCCCTTGTTCCTACTAGCGATGCACCTGTTCCTAGTAGCTTCTAGCTACTAGTTTTTTCCCGTTTGTTCAGCCTCCACCTTTCAGCCGAGTAGACACCCCGATGAAGCTTGGCTGATGGCTGTTTAGATCATGTACAATCGTCTCGCCTTTCAAACCTTTCAACTACGGTCCTTTGGGGCTTTTTCCAGTTGGGATTGTTGGCTTCGCAGCTGCATGAGGGTCGACTCAGCCCCGCGTGCGTGGTCAGGGACGCATTGCCTGGGCCGGTGCTGGATCCTCTGAAACACACATGAAAGGTTACGGGAACAGGCTTGGTCAACCTGGGCTCTACAGCCTACAGGTCTTGAAGTGGTGAGCCATCCGTTTGGACGGCTTTTGCAACTGTGTGAGATGTGGGGCTTGCATCTTGCCCTAGCTTCGATATGTTCTTGCTATAATCATATTGATTCTTGATTACACAATTTAAACTATGAAGCATCTTGAGAGGCTTCACAGTTCTCTAAAAACCTCTCATCAAACATGCTTAAACTGTGCGTGTTCAAGCCACTGCTAGCGCGAAGGTGCGTGGCCACACATGGAACAAAGAGGAGAAGCGCCCGAAGCATACAGGGCTGAACTACATTGAGTATCGGTCTTGAGCCACTGAAGTGCCACAAGAACAGATTCTTCACAATTCTAAAATAGAAGTACACTTGGTGAAAGACTGTACACATCACCTGAGATTTTCCCTGGCGTTTCAACCTAACAAGTGCCGACCTCCACTCCGCCCATCTCTGCTTGCATGCCATTGCCAATCAAGGCCTCGCTCAAAGAGGTCCCCCAGCGGGCTCGGAAAAGATCAAAGGTTGCAAACACATCATAGAATCATCGCTGATCTAGCTACCTTACAAGGAATCTACCAACATCCATCTCGACAAACCAGCAAGCCCTCAACTTTCACTGGCTCTATTGTCCCTAGATGCCTCCATTAACGGCCGACCACACGAGAATGGCTGGAAAGGGGCGGCGTACTCGTGGGTGCAGGGCAAATGGACCTTCCTCTTCCTTTCTCTTGCTTTCCTGTCCTTTCGTTCCTTGCCATCCTTCCCAGTTCCTTTCCCTGTTCTTCCCTGGTATGTCCCTCTTGAAAAAGTGTCCTGGAGACTCTTCTTTCTCTCCTTATCACTCCTTTGAAGGTGTTTTCAAACAGCCTTCCCGCGTTCGAAGTGTACACCTTCTCTTTCCCGATAGGTCACCAACACTGTCAGCTTAGACTTAAGCCTTCACAAACCAGGTGTGTTAAGGTGGCTTGACAAGGTCACCGGGGTCCCTGACCATGCAAAGGCGTTGTGTCTTTGCAGGAACTCGGCAAACGCATGAGACCTCGTGAGCGTTTTGGGCAGCCGGTCTCTGGGTGTGTCGATGTGTTGCTTTTGCATGTAGTGAATGGCGATCAGAAATTTAACATGAAAGCAATATGCATTTCTCCATAGTTCTTGTGATTCTTGTGTGACATTGTGTGACCAAACTAACTACTCAAGGAGGATCAAAAGGAGACTTTAGCTGAACTCTTCGGGTAGGCTTGCACAGACCTTCCCTTCACTGGAACTCTAAACAGTGGCTGCTAGTTGCTATCCATGAAGAGGATCATGCAATGCCGCAATGCCCTGGAATCTGTATGGTGTTTCTGCTTCATGATCGCGGACTTGTTTGCTCTGGCGTAATATTGCCTTCTACGGTCAAGCCATTGGATTCTATGGTCAAGCTGCCGATCTGGCCCAACGTCACATCGGCAAAGTTGGTAAGAGACTAAGGCACATAGACATCAGGGATGTTTCGAATCGATGTTGTCACATTGTGAGTGCTTGTCTGTCTTTGCTGCACAGCACACCCTCGTCTGGAGCAGGGACATATGCTTCACATGTAAATGTGTGTTGGTTCGAGGCCCCAAAGCCACCTAACAAACACTCCCCTTCTTCAATAAGCTACCCTAAGCTGGCCAAGTGTATACGTTGGTATACAGCAATCTAAGGCAACCTACAGTAATCTATTCTTGACTATCTAATATTCTAAAAAAGATTCCTGAAGTCAATGGCCCCTGCTCGTCGCCACTTGGCAGGATAGCGCCAGGGAGGCCGGATGCCCCGCCTCAGTGGCAAAAGTGAATAGGAGTAGCGTCACTCTCGCTGAACAACGGAAGGCAACAAGGAAATGCAAGCTCTTCAACCACACTGAATCTATCACTAAATGCCTCTCGATCCTCTGGCTTTCAGTATGATTTCAAAATCCTTTGTGCATCTTCTATCTTGTTCAATTGGCAACCGTTGTCAAAATAAGGGCTGACACATGTTCCACGACCTTGCCTACCGACCTCGACCTCGGCATCTAAGTGAGTGGCTTGGTGTTGGGGCAGTCCCGCACCAAATGGCCCGTCTTGCCGCAATTGAAGCAGGTGACCTGCCGGTGTGGATCTGGCTTGGACCTCCAGCTTTCAAGTTTTCAAGAGCAAGACTCTCCTCCACTGCAGCGTTGTCCAACATTTCACTTCACAAAATTACTTGCAGCAAACGAAGGCCTCGGAGGATTTCTCCTCTGAATTGGCTGATGCCACCAACAAGCCTCAAGAGATACTTCGGGTATCATCGGGGTGACTGCCCGAGGAACACGGAGAAGGTTCTATCAGGAATTTGTCCAAAATTTGAAGAGCAAAAAACTCGCATGAACTCGCGACTTATGTGCCAATCCATGCCTTCTGATGATCTCGCTGTCATCACCTTCACCTGAAACCATTGTGAATCATTGTGAGGTATGGTGACACAGCAACAAACGCCTCAGCCCAGCCAGTCTTGCAGCAACAAGTGGTTGCAATTTGCGTGTCCTTGCCTCTGCAATGATTCGAACGGTGACATCTTCAGCGCCCGTGTTCGCAAACAACCTGAGCAGACATGACTCCATTCTGTGCACAGTGGGGCAATTTCTGCAGATTGCCTGCAATACTTAACTTGAGAGGAGGGAGACACGAAAGGTAGGACAGCGGGAAGAGAAG